GAGACAAATGAAGGTAAATGACCTGTTTACACAGATGTGATTAATTTCCCGTTTATGTTTCTGAGTGTTATCCTTCAGCTAATATCAAGGATCTTGTATGGACATACCATCTGTCTTATGCAATATATTTTAGAAGAGTGTCCAGAATTGTAACAGTGAAAGGTCATGTTTCTGCAGTCCATTGGACACAGAACTAAAGATAAAATGAGGAAACATGGTCCATATATTTTTGTACCCTTTGTTGATGTATAATTTAAATATCATACAATATATCAATTATTGTGTAAAATTTAATTTTCCATAGTATATTCACAGAATTGTGCATCTACCACAACAATCCATTTGACAGCCCTTTTATCTCCCCAAAATAAGTCCTATAGCCTTTAGCCTTTTCCTCTCCACGTCTAGTTTCTGCATTTCCCCTGTGCTGGGTAATTGCTAATTGAATTTCTATCTCTATAGATTTACCTATTCTAGATGATTTTTAATATATGCAATCATACAATATGTGGTATTTTGTGACTGGCTTCTGTTATGTAACATAATATTTTAAATGTTCATTTATGGTATAGCATATACATGTTGATTTTTACAACCATCATGTAAGATATTGAGAGGGTGAAGATGACAGTATCTTTATAAGCCTTGTGAAAGTAATCAAAGATAAAGAGAGAAAAGGAGAAAAGTAAATCAAGCTTGCAGTACATTCAGCATTAATCATTAGGTTAGCTTGTTCTCTGGCCCACTTCCTCATAGTTATTTGGCTATTGTCCTAGAATTATGGAGACCTTGTTACGAGATTGTAGTACCTCTTAACTCTTCTATAGATAATAACTTAAACATTACGAAATGATTAACTTTCCTTCTGAGATATTCCTTCAGGTCCAGCATACTGATAAAACTACTGACTCAGCAAGTCTGAAGGACCTCACTGATGACAGCTGATCTGAGGAACTTCACTGATGCCAGCTGATCTAGAGGACCCCACAAGGAACTGACTCAGCAAATAATGTTGCTTCTTGCTCTGATAACTTTGTCTCTATTACCCTGACCAATCAATTACCCAAATTTTCCAGTCCATCACCATCTATGATCTCCTTAAAACCTCCAGCCCAGAACTCCTTGAGGAGCTGGATTTGAGGTTCTCTTCTCATCTCCTTGGTCAGTGCCCTGCAAATGTTAAACTCCTCCTTTGCTGCCAAACCTGACGTCTCAGTGTAATCGGACTATTATCGGACAGTAAGCATATAAACCTGTTGGTCCTATAACAAAACTTCCATGGAAAAAGTAACTGCATGTATAACAAAACTAGAAAGATAACTATAATTAGAAGTGGAACTTAATGATGTAACAGAATTGATGAAATCTCATGATAAAACAAATAAGTGAGGAGTTACTTCTTAGGGAAGGGCAAAGAAACTTGTTTCTTGAGATGGAATCTACTCCTGGTGAAGATGTTATGAACATTGTTGAATGAAAACAGGAGATTTAGAATATTACTTAAACCTACTTTATAAAGCAGCGTTAGAGTTTGAGAGGATTAATTCCAGTTCTGAAAGAAGATCCTCAATGGGTAAAATGCTATCTGACAACATTGCATGCTGAAAAAAATCTTTTGTGAAAGAGTGGGTTAATGTATATGGCAAATGCCATTGTTGTCTTATTTTTAAGAAATTGTCACAGCCATGCCAACTGCTAGCAGCCACCACCATAATAAGTTATCAACCATCAACATTGATGCGAGAGTCTCCATCAACAAAAGTTGCACTCACTGAAGATTCAGATGATCATTAGCACTCTTTACCAATTAAGTGTTTTTAATTAAGGTATGTACTTTGTAGACTTAATATTATCACAGACTGAATACACTACAGCATTGTGTAGGCATAACTTTTTCTATGCCTTATAAACCAAAGCAAATTGTGTGACTCACTTCATTGCAATATTTGCTTTATTGTAGTATTCTAGAACTAAATCTGCAACATCTCAGAAGTATGCCTTGTATTAGTGAAAACACTTAATATGAGATAAACTCTAAAATACATATTGCAGTTGAAGGGGCTCTATTTACTCACCCCTTCTGTTCCTCTTTGTGAGAGCCATGCACATTACCTACTTTCAGTCAGTCATCTTGGCCACATACATTGACTCACTCTTTCACAAAAGATTTTTTTAAAGTTTCTAACTCACACAAAACACAAACATACACAACAAACACACACTTTCTGTCACTCTCCCACAAAACCCAAATTTACAAGGTGGTTTTGGAAAACAAATATTTTACATCACTTTACCTGTGTGGACCCTCACTAATTAGCTGATAATATATTGAATAGCTATAATATAAAGACTATTTTGATATGAATCACATGAACAATACAGGATGTTTAGAGTTCCAGACAAAAAACACAAGAACTTCTATAGGAAATAATTAGAAAAACTTAATGAGGCAGGTAACATATGATATAAGATGAAAGCTTTGATTGGACCTAGGCAGTGTGTGGCCAAGAAGGGATTTTCCAATAAAGAACAGAAAGATTAAAAGTCATGGAGATATGGAGAGCATTCCAAAGTATATGGATCACAGAGAAATTTGAGGGCAGGAGATTACAAAAGACAGTTAATTTGGAATGAAGACGTTAGGCAGTCTTACCTGTCACACTATGGATTTGGATTTTAATACACCACCAAAATTTACTTACACAACTTTTAAGGAATGACAGTTATGAAATCAAGATTTTCCTTTAGAAAGCAAATGTGTCAACTAATATTGGTGTGGAAAGTCAAGACCTTAAAATTAGAAAGGATTATTAAAAGTGTGCATTTGTAACCAAAACAGGAGATCATAATGGCCTGATATGGTTGACTGTGTCCCCACCAAAATCTCATCTTGAAGTGTAACTACCACAATTCCCACATGTTGTAGGAGGGACTTGATGGAGGTAATTGAATCATGGGGATGAGTCTTTTCCATGCTATTCTCTT